AACCAAGGTTCTACGGGACCCTGCCAAGATTTAGAAGTAGAAGAAAATGTTCCAAGGGCAGCAGGCTAATTTGAACATGTGAGAAAAGCAAAAGAAAAAGAAATAACTGTCAGACATATGTTAATAGATTTTGTGTCATGGTTTTTTAGTTAAGTGAAATGTAGTTAAACGTCTTCATGACACACATGAAATCTACCAGAGAGAGCGCGCCCTCTTGCATTTAGCGCAGATTTGAAGCTCAGCTTGAATGGCGGGAAATATCTTTCACATCATGTACATCGGAGATATAAATCTAAATTCCCATTATGTACACAAACGTGGTCATCTAAATTCATGACTAAATTTTATTTTCTATATCTCCCTGGTTTTTATGTCCAAACATTTAAAAATAATCATTATAAGCAATATTTTATGAGGTATTTTATTTTAGTTAACTGCATGAAAAGGACTAAAACTGTGCAACGTGTTACGTGTTCAACAGTTTGCATTTTTCAATTTTCGCCTCCCCGGGATTTTCGATTTTACGTTTCAACACATCGTTTTTATCAACTATCATCAGCTGCATGCTGATAATGTATTTGTATTTTTTTTTTTTATTTATTCTCGTAGTGCAGTCATTTATCCTTCCATGAGTTCCATGTTGTTATCTCCAGAATCCAGATCTTATGACTTTGCTGAAGTACCATGTGTGATGTCTAAAAATATCTCTCCCTTGTAGCTACATATTTCTAATAATGAAAATTAGTTTTTCCTGTCCGTCTGGGAAGTGATAACTTGCCGTCGTGGTTTGTTCTTATTGACTGTTCTCTCAGCTAAAAACGTGTGCAGATGACCACTTCATTATCATTGTGTTTGTGTTTATCCTCACCTCTTGCGTAGACAACACCTTGTCATTTGTAGTATGATGATTTGTGTTGTTCCCATCTCGTAAAGTAAACTATGTCTTCAAGAGTCCTCAAGAAACTAGGGCTGCAGGGTGAGAAAGATATCACATTCTTACCTGAAGATGGAAGTGATGCTGAAGGTGATCTCTCCCATTCAAGTGGGGCAAGGAAAAAGCAGCTGAATCTTAACCGCTATGATGTGGTGAGTTTTCTTGCGGCGTAGATTTTTTCTTTCGCCATCGGTGTAATCCCTCCAAGGAGAATGCTCTTATGCAAAGTTTTATCAGAATCACTGTAATCATGTCACCTCGTGTATGCTTTCCATCTGTCTTTAGCAGGAACCAAGATGCGTTTAATGTCTTTGAAAGAATGTGTACCAGGGAGCATGCTCTTGTAGCATCAATGACATGGTAGCAGTTCAATGTAATACGCTAAGTTTTGGAGATACTCAGAGACTGTGAGCAGCAGACTGCTTTGATGTTGTAGAAGTACCTAAAACTATATACTAGTTGTCTCTTACTTCATTCACACTTAATTGTAACTGCATTCGTATTGGAGTTCTTATTTTGTCATTTATAGAGTTTTAATTTCATTAAGTCCTGCTCAATTGTCTGCAATCATGTTCTATCTAAGAAAATTCCTGTACCAAAATATTTCTTGAAGGATTGATTGATCAACAGGTACTATTTTTATTTGACGACATTCTGCGTGTCATAAGTATTCTTCTATCAGGATACATTTAAACTGTGGTGACCATTCATCCACACTACCAATATAATTAGAAGAAGGGATGGCTCTCTCTCTTCTTTTAGGTTATCATATCAGGCCCGATGATTGTCACCTCTTTTACCTATTATAAGTAATTAGAGCCTGTTTCAGACAACTTGTCCCTTTTAGCTATATGCATGTAGGTAATAGGGAATTTCTTATTCCGTGCATACAGCAATAAAGGACTAGTTATCTGAAATGGGCTCTAACTTATGTTTACCATTAGTACTGTCCAACCATGACCGTAGAGAGATTCATACCCATAACCATGAGAGATTCATTTCTAGTTTTAAGCTCAACTGAAATGAAACTGGTTTCTGATTCTTCCAAAGTAAGTGTCAGGGCCAATTTTTTTCACAAGCAATTCAGTTGTGAAGGAAATAATAAGGCATACTGAGCTGAGATATGAAATACCCCTTACTTGAAACCAAGGGATTTGGCGTCGAGTCTAACATGTTTTATACATGAAACTTTCAACGGGTCAAGTAGGTATAAGAAAAACAAAGCTTTTCAGCCTTTTCCTAGCATTCTCCGAAGAAATCATGCCATTACTGCTGGGTCAGATATCTACTGAGTCTTTGTTTGAAAGCGTTTAATACAATTGACACTGTGTTGCACGCTCATCATCTGTTCGAAAGTTGGTTCTTTTTGTCAGTTTCATCTTCCCGGCCAATGATTGAAAAGAAACTTTCCTCAATCACCAGTCTGATGTTGCATCCGCTCATTCCTCTACAATCTGCTAAAAATTTAATATTCAGCCCTGCTTCCCATACAATTTGCACACTGATACTTCAATTTTGAAGCCTCTTGTGCTCAAATGAGTTCCAAAGAACATCAGACCAGATAATACCACCATTTGGATCCCTTGGTTTTATTTGCAGGGTTCTTTCATGCAACTTACTTAACCGAAAAACAAAGATTCATTGATTTTCAAAAAGAGACTTTCTCATCATTATTGTGGTAGGTAAACGACAATTCTTTGTCTGAAGTCGACCAACCAAGTATTTGGCATTACTTAACTCTAATAGAATGGTAGTATGCATGAAAATATGAAACGAAATCATCTGTTTTGGCTGTTTCTGATTCATCCGCACCAAATCAACAGAACACAAACTTTTTCAAATTAAATAATTGCAAAATAAAGAAGTGACATTATAATATGTCAGTTGCAATAATTGTGTATCTGGCTACTTAACATTTCTTTTTGTTTTTAAAGTTAAATGAGCAGTCCCACTCAGAATCGGAAGTGAAGGAGGATGATGATCATGAAACAACCAGCTCTTTGACGAACAATGATCTGGGACAAGTTGAAATCAAGGAAATTTCAAGGAAAAAGAAAAAGAAGAAGAAAAGGAAAGCTCACCGAGTCCCTGCAAACGCAAGGAGTAGTGAGGATAATGCAGAGGTAAGGTTTACACGTTTTCGAAAGAGAACTCTCCTTAAAAAAGAAAGTTACCTGTGCAGTTACGAATTTCAGTTATTAGTCAGATTTCTTGAAAAGAAAATGATGGTGTAGTGTCTCAATTAAAAAAGGCACAAGTAGGCACACCCTTAATAGTACATACTATAAAATTTACAAAACAAAATATTGTAAAAAACTTCTGTAAAAGTAGTTAAATAGACCAAAAATGAATTACCTATGTAGTATTTTTTACAAGAAAAATACATAAAAAGTACAAATCACCTTTCTTCACCGTTTTGATCATGAACTTTTTACGTACCTAAAATTCTTGAACTCTTGACTATTTACAACTTCGTCACAAGCCTTACCTACTAGGTACGTACAATTTTCAAACTCCTAAAAAATATCAGTACCTATCACATTTTTTTTCCAAGTATTTTAAAAAACATTTTACCTGAGACAACATAAATAAATACCTGCCACCAAACTTGAAAAAGAAGTCTGTAGTTTGATTGTAAATATTTACATTAAAACTGGGGCTTTAAAATTTATTTAATTTAAACATTATTTTAAGGCCCCAGAATTGCTTGATTTTTTTTTTTTTTTTT